CCAAGATCCCTGGAGAATGGACGAGAAGGGATTGTGGTATGGTTATCCCCCAGGGCGTGATTTTTCACTTTCCCTTTCCCTTTCCCTTTCACTGTCTCTCTCTCTCTCTCTCTCTCTGGTGAGCACATACACCCTAAGGCAAAAGTCTTATATATATATATCCAGAAATATGGGGCTAGCAGGTTAAGGCACTGGACTCCCACATGGTTGACCGTGGTCTGAGTCTCAGACCTGGTGGCTTGCTTTCTCACTTTCTCTTTGTCTCTCTCTGATGAGCGCATGTGGCCTATAGCAAATTAAATAATAATAATAATAAATAAAGTTAAATAAAATAATTCTTAAAATATATGTATCTGGAAATAAAGATAATATAATGCAATCCCTATACTTGTCACCAAGTTTCACAGTCGCTCCTTTATTATTATTGTTGTTGCTAGAGAGTGTGTGCTCAGCAGAGAGGCGGGGTGCTGTGGGGGGAAAAGAAAGCACTCCCATTCGGGCGCGGTCACACTGCAGTCCCTTCTCCTGCATTTCTCCTTCATTGTCTCTCAGGCCGCAGGGGGAGGGATTCCAAACGTGGCAGCCATGTGGGATTCAGCTTTCCATGCACAGAGCTTAACCACTGCGCTACGGGTGCCTTCACTGCACTACCAACAATTGCTCCTTCGAGGAGAAATACGTGGAAAAATAAGTACCTGGGACTGGGCTCTGGAGAACACCATTTAAAGGCAAGCTATCAGAAACCACCATGAAGTGGTGGCCAGGGCAGGAGAGAAGGTGTAACCGAAACCAAGAAGAAATCATTTCGAGGAGGCAGGAGGATGGACGGTGTGAAACACTGCTATGAGAGACTGAGAGATACGAAGATGGAGACATGGTCTTTGGGTTTGCCAAAATTCACTAGAGACCTCGGCTAGAGCACCTCAGTTGAGCATATAAGATAATGGGATGGTGGCAGGTGGCATGATAATTAAGATGCTGGACTCCCACATGGCTGACCAAGGTTCAAGTCCTGGACCTGGCAGCTTGCTTTCTCTGTCTCTCTCTTCCACTCTCTGGCCCACTTGAAGAACAATAAATAAATAAAATTAAGAAAAAAAGATAATCCTGGGTCAGTTGGTGGCATGGTGGGTAAAGGTGCTGGATCCCACCTGGCCGACTCCGCTATTCTAGTCCCAGACCTGGTGCTTGAAAAACATGCCAGGTGCATGTGAATGTGTGCCCCCCAATCTCAAGAAGATAATGGAGGAGAAGGGATTTCAGCATGGCCATCTCCCTTGAGGGGTGCTTTCATCCTTTTCTTCTCATTCTGTTTTTCTGTCTGTGTGTCCCCTCTGGGGAGCGCGCGCGCGCGCACACACACACACATACACACACACACACACACACAAACTATAGCAAGTTAAAAAAAAATTAAAGAAAAAATAAAGTTGAGTCTGCCAGAGAATGTCGAGGAGGGAAGACTGGAATCTCCTTCCATAGGGAACATCATCTCTGTGTAAAGGCTGAGCCAGGAGGACACCAGCCAGTGATACTCAGGAAAAACTGAAGGACACACTGAGGCTGCAGCTCTGCCTCTCCCAGATGGAGTCAGGGGAGACATTTTGAACTTTGAGGACCTTGCTACCCTGCTCCAAGGAGAAGTTAGACTCTAGGAAAGGCTTAGAAAAGAGGAGATGGGACCAGCTGGTGGCACGGTGGTTAAGGCACTGGACTCCCATATGACTGACTGCGGTTTGAGTCCCAGACCTGGTGGCCTGGTTTTCTTTCCATTTTCCCTCTCTCTCCATCTCTCTCACTCTCTGGTGAGTGCATGTACCCTCTAGAAAATTAAAATAATAATAATTAATTTAATTAATTAATTAATTCTTTATTTGAGAGAGAGATTTTTGCTATAAGGTACATGTGCTCACCAGAGAGACAGAGAAAGACAGAGAGACAGAAAGCAAGAAATCACCCCTCCCAGGGGGTATGTCCACACCGCAATTCCTTCTCCATTCTTCTCTCAGGGTTTTTGGGCGTGCACACACACTCGCCCAGCACGAGTTTAGACCACTGGGTCTGGGACTCACACCATGGTCAGCTACCTGAGAGTCCAGTGCCTTAACCACTGCCCCACCTGCTGGTTCCTAAATAAATAATTCTCCTTTCTAAAAGGATTTTAGAGAGATTTTTGCTATAGGGTGTATGCACTGGCCAGAGAGACAGAAAGCAAGAAATCACCCTCCAGGATGGTTGGCCACGCTGGAATTCCCTTCTCCTCCATTTCCCTCTCAGGATTTTGGGTATGTACACACACATGCCCGGTGTGACTTTTAAGTTGCTGGGTCTGAAACTTGAATCATGGTTGATTATGTGGGAGTCCGGTGTAATTCCAAAAAAAAGGAAAAAAAAATAATAATTCTTAGGAAAAGAAAAAGAAGGGATCAGCAGATGGCATAATGGTTATGTCACTGAACTCCCACCAGGCTGACTGCAGTTTGAGTCCTGGAACTGGCTTCAAAATCATGCTGGTCTGGGGGCCAGCAGGTGGTGTGATGGTTAAGGATGCTGGACTCCCACATGGCCAACCATGCTTCAAGTCCCAGACCTGGGGGCTTGCTTTTTCACATTCCCCCT